AATTCTTATTGGATTTTTATAGTTTTTAGTTTATTCTCTTGAATTTTCTAACACATCACCTACCGATAATGATGGTATACTTCTTCTTTTACTATTTTTATACTTCTAATTTCTTTCTATCTACTAATTGTATTGGCTAGCACAACCAAGACAATACTATGTAACAGGAGTGACAGGGCTTCCTTGTTTTCTTTATGACTGGGGTGGGAATGTCCCGAGTGAATCCCCACTGTGTTGATGCTGGCTTTGGGGTTGAGGGTTTTTTTTAATCTTATTGTAAATAGATAGATATTTCCTTATTTTAATGTTTATTAAGAATGGTATTGAATATTTCTTTTTAGCTTTTATGGAAATGATTATAATTTTCTCCTTAGGTTCACTGATATGAAAACAAATCACATGGTTGGAAATCTAGTCAGAGAATTCAAACTGATTTCCCATTAGATGCTGGTTGTAGAGTTTCTTCTAGAGGGCTAAGTTGAGGCTGGAGATGACGGCGGTTTAGGAGCCGGGCGGCAGTGGTGGTAATGGGAGAAGTCGGTGAATTACATTTTGAAAGTAAAACCACTGATGGGTTCAATGTGGAGCGTGAAGGATGAGGAGAAATTAAGGATGCTTTCTGGGCTTGAGCTAACAAATGGCTCAGGCTGAGGTCACCAATGACTCTTGGTTGCCAAACGCAGTGGGGTCTGTCTCACCTTACTGAAGAGGTGAGATCTGAGGCCCCGCCGACCGCTCTCTCCACTCTCCATTCTGCAGCACTGGGGCCTCCTTCCCTTTCTTCTTGGCTTCTTCTCAGTCTCTTGGTGGGCTTTTCTCCACCGCTTTCCCATAACCAGTATACCCAGGCTCAGACCCTGCCTCCCATCTCTGTTCTTAGCCACCTTCTTCTCTTCCTGACCTCCTTGGACAATTTCATTTCTTCCCAGGGTTTTGTGTATCACCTGTGATGCTGATGGCTCCCAAACCTGTGTCTCTAGCCCCGTGTTGCTCCTGAGCTCCCCGCTGGAGATCCAGTTGTCTATAGGATTTCTCTCCACCTGGGCCTTGTGCAGGTGTCTCAAATCCTTCAAGTCTAAAACCAAACTCCTTGTCTACTGCAATTCTGACACCAATTCCAATGTGTTTTTTTCCACCACCAAGCAATTCTGTGACACCAGCTGGGTGTCCTAAAATTCAACTCAATTCTGACACCAGCTACGTGGAGATGGCATCAGATCCGACAGGTTAGGGGCTCAGTCCTACAAGACTGCCCCCCCCGCACTTGCCCCTTTCAGGGGGGAATCGAAATCCCGGGTTGCCACTTGTGCTTCTGTCCAGTGGGCTATAGGGTGGATGTTCGAATGGGCCCCTCCTTGGGTTTGAATTTGCTAGAGCAGCTCACAGAATGCAGGGAAACATTTGACTTACTAGATTACTGGCTTATTATAAAGGGATATAACTCAGGAACAGCAAGATGGACGAGATGTGTTGGGCGAGGTATGGGGAAAGGGGCTCAGACAGTCTGTGCTTTCTGAGCGTGCTGTTTACCCCGCATCTCTATTACCAAAAGTTCGGGCTCTGATCCCGATGTCAATCCAAATAACGAGAGCAGTGTTGAGTGAAAAAGGCAAGGCTTTACTTTGCCCGGCAGAGGGAGCAAAGCAAGGGCTAGTGCCCCAAGAATTGCTAGCTCCCCGTGAAGAAATGGGTAGGGTTTTTCTTTGGGGTTTTAGGTAGGGGAGGGGGGCCGTGGTCCTCTTGGTCAGCATTTTCCCATCAGCCTGTGTCTGGGGCTGCTTCCAGCAGAGGAGACAAAGGATTTCTCAGATGTGTGTCCTCGGCTGTTTATCTCCATGGTGGAAGGTGGACTCTGACATCAGGAAGCTGAGGAGCTGAGCCTGGGAAGCTTCGGTTTCTTGATGGTCTGTGGACGTGAGTTTCTCTGCGAAAGAACTTCAAGGTCCTGGGATTAGCCACAACTTTAGTGGGAGCCCAGCGGGAGGCCATCTGGACTTTAACAATTTGTAACTTCTGTTTGTTTGTGAAGCTCAAGGAGTCAGAGGTTAAAGAAACAAACATTTACATGTGAGTGTAACCAGAGACCCAGGGAACTGGGAACGTGTGTTTTTAGTTTTGACCCATATATGCTGGGTTCATGTAGGGGAACCAATGTCAGGGCTGATAGTAACTAGGACCCGATAACATCTCCACGTGTTTACCAACATGGAAGCTCTCCAAACCCTGTCCTTTTAGGTTTTTTATGGGGCTTCATTACAGAGGCATGATTGATTCACTCACCGGCCATTGGCAATTGATTCAACCTCCAGCCCCGCTCCCCTTCCTGAGATCTGGGGGTGGGACTGAAAGTTCTAACCCTCTAATCTCGAGGTTGGTTCTCCTGACAACCAGCTCCCATCCTTAGGTTACCAGGAGCTTCACAAAAGCCACCTCATTAACATAACAAAAGACACCTTTATTGCTCTCATTACTGAGGCAATTCCAAGGGTTTTAGGAGCTCTGTGACAGAATACATTACTTATAAATCACAATATCACATCCACTTTCCCTCAAGTGTGATGGGGGGCATACTGTAACCAAGGGCCCACTACGCCCAGTTCAAATTGACCCCGTCTTATCAACAGACTAATTAAGAGTTGTTTTTCAGGAGCTGAGAGTTGACTCCTTGTCCAGTTCAGGCCAGTTGAGAACACCAACCCATCAACTGGGCCTGCTTGAATGCCTGATAGGTGACCCTTTCACCACAGGGGGCTGAAAACTCTACCCTCAGATCATGCTGACGCCCCAATGTTGTGACCATGCATCCTGTGAAGAGCCATGAAGCTGGACCACACTTGCACAGAGTGTCTATTAACTCACTTCTGCTTACCTCCAATCATCATGTCCACACTTCAGACTGTCCTGCCCTTCATCCCATATATTTTGTCCCAAGCCCTGGATCAAGGAGACAGATTTGCGAGCTGTGCCTCCTGTCCCCTTGCTGGTTGACCTCAAAATAAAGCCATTTCTTTTCGCAAAAGCCAGTGGCATAATTTTCTTTTTTTATGTGCATTGGGCAGACAACCCCCTTTTTGTGGGGTAACAGTTTCTTAAGTTCCATTTTCTCCTTTACCCTTTTTCTTGATAGATCAGTCACCAAGGCCTGAAGATTCTACCATGTCAAACCAGTGCCTTCCAGCCTCTGTCTTAGTGCCAGTCATCTCTATGAGGCCTCACAAGACAACCTCAAAATTCGCTCCACCCTTTTCCTGCACTGCCCCCCTGCATCCTCCATTTCTGAACTTCTTTGTTTTTCTGGAGTATTTTTAAAGAGTCTATTGAGAAAATGTTTGTTAAAAGAGACTCTTCTCTAAGAGTGAATTTTTGCTGGAAGGACAACAAGCGCAAGAACAGAATGCCCTGTCCTTCATAGCTCTTTGTTCTGACCACAGACAATTGGGTACCAAGATTCCTTAGGCTTGTTACTGGTACTTTGTGGAACTTCATGTAGTTTAAAGACAATTGAGTCGACCATTTTCATCACAAACCACGTGCGGAATTCCAGCTTGAAAGGGAGGGGGCTCTGGACCTATCTGGTTGTCCGGAGTCTGCTCGCTAACTGATGGCACTGCGATGCTTGCAGTTCTGTGAACTGCTGTCCTACCACCATCACCTGACTTTCAGGGTTAACGTTTAGACATTTTTTGTGAGAAAATTTTATCCTGAAACAGTTTTGACTAACCACAGATACCAAGACCCACAGTCTGCCGCCACTGGCATCGTGAATGACAGAGGAAGAGCTGTGTGTCTTGAAGCCCACCTGGGGCGGAGGCCCTGGGCTTCTAGCGCCGGCCAGCCTGTGGGGTGTGTGGCTCGCAGGGCAGGACTTGGCAGCGTGGCAGGTGTAGGACTGGGGCAGGTGGGCTGTGAGACTGATGCAGGGCCCTGGGGATGCCAGAGGGGGCGCCACTGCAGGGGAAACCTTGGGCTTGACTGTGGGATCTGCACAGAGAAGGGACCCAGGCCAGGAAGTTTGGGAAGGCCTGGGAAAGAGCAGGGGAGGTGGAGATGCGATGAGCTGGTGTCCTCAGGGAATAAGCTCAGCTTATGGGAGTTCCCGGAGAGAAAGGCTGAGGGACAGAGACAGAGAGACAGACAGCGACACAGACATCGAGAGACTCCATCAAGCGAGGGAAAGGCAAGAGTTGACAAGAATGCCTACAAGGCAGAGAATTTAATGGAAGTGTCGCTATCTGTTGAACCATTCTAAAGTGGTGAAAGAAAAAAGAAAAAGAAAGAAATACTATATATTATATATTATTATATAATATATATTTGTATATTACCATATTTTTATATATATATATATGCTATTATTATATAATATACATTTTACTGCTTTAGAATGATTCAATCTATGTACTTTCTCCTTTTCTTTTTCTGTCTTCATTGACAATAACTAGCGTTGCTGGAAGGCTCTGGGGCAGGCGCGGTGCTGTGTGCCTCAGGCACTTTCCTTTCAGTCCCACGCAGCCCCATCTTCCAGATGAGGAAGTGGAGTCCACAGAGGTTGAGCGCCTCCTGATGGAGATCGCGCTGCAGCCCCGGAGCCTGAGCTGTTAACAGGCTCTGGACAAAGAGAGATGCCTGATGTGTCACAACACCTGTGAGTTATTCAGGGCTCCTTTGGACGGTTCTCTTATGCTTCTGATGGTGGCGAGGATGAAAGAATAAATGATTGACCCAGGTGACTGATCGATCTCCGGTTCTTGTTGCCACCGGGGTCGCGAGTGTTTGGGGCTGTGAAGGTGAAGACTGTTGAGCTGGTGGTAAGAAGGTCAGTAATTAGGTTACGGACATTTTAAAATAAGGTGCTGAATCTGGTGTGAGATGCGACATCCCGCCCCTGAGGAGCTTCTGATGAAAGTCATTTGAGGAATCGGCTCTTTGTAGGAAGCCGAGAGCCACATCTTTTCCTCTCCATTAGGGCACCCAAATTAAGAAACTGGACTGAAAATCACTAGAGAACTTTATAAGATTTTAATGTCTAAGAATCCACATTAGCATGTCTCTGTCCAGAGGGTGTGAGAAACTAATCTGAGCGTAATTATCCTGTAATGTGACACCGGGGCAGGGACCTGGAGCCGGCTGCCCGCGGACCAGGTCTTAATGAGGCGGGGCGTGGACGCTGCCAACTCCATCAGTCAGAGTTCCACTTGGAGCAGCTGATGAGGGCAGCTGGGATGGTGGCCCCTTGGAGGTCTGAGAGGGGTCAGCCGTCGCTGAAGGTTGACATCCTTACAGTGGGGCCGTGCAGAGTGATTGCTTGGAGTCCTAGAAGAAAACCACATTTCAAATCCAGATTTGAGAGGGGAAAATGTTTGTGCAATAAGAGGTGGGGCTAGGACCGCAGGAGGGGGCCCTGAACTGCTGACTGAATGCGACCTGCCTTTCGCATCAGCTCTGCCTCCCGGCTCCTCCTGGGAGCTGACCCGTATCTTCCATTTGATTCTAAGGGATGGGGCCGCTTCCAATATCACATCAATGAAGCTTCAGGATAAAAGTGCCTAACTGAGTGTCTAAATTCAGCCGAAGCAGTTTCTACGGAATCTTGCCGTGTCTGTGACGCCTTTTTTCCCTTGTGTCTAAGAAGTCACATTTTTGACATTTTATTTTGTTTCTTAAATTCCTTTGATATGATTGTGGCTGCCTTTTGCACATTTATGACATTGGGTAGGTTGCTGTGGCCACACTATGTGAATCTACAAATAAATGCAGTAGGAAAATAATATGGAAATCCAAAAAGTTAAACAACTGGGGTTAGGGAAATGAATTTAGACAAGAACCGCAGAAGCTCCTTTATGGGGAATGACCCTCAGAGGAACAGCGGAATATTTGGAATATTAGCCCTTGTTCCTGCCCGGGAACTCTTGGCATTTTGTTAGAAATCATGTAGGTTTTTATTATGTCTTTATCGATAGACCTCTTCTCTCGCATCCGGGAAAAAGTTACTGCCTTTCTTCAGTATCTGTGCTTTGGTTCTCATTCATCCAGTCAAACATTTATTAAGTGCCTACTGTATGCTCTGTTCCAGCTGACAGTCTGGTTCTCGCTCCCAAATCTTGCCCCACACCCTGTCCTTCTTCATTCTTCTCCCCCCCCCCCCCCCCCCGAGGGAACGGGGCATCCTGGCCTGGCCCAGCAAACCAGCCAGACAAGTGAATCATGGGCTGGACCTAGGGGGGAGGGGCGAGACTCAGGCCTGTGCCAGGGAGGGTCCCTGGAGTTCTGGGGAGCACAAGGAACGGTTCCTTTTTACTCACTGGTCTCTCTGTTCCACGTCACCCAAGAGCCAGAGTATTGCCAGCAGAACCCCCACTTGAACGCTTCAGTTCAGAAATTTATGTTCAAATCCCTTAAAAGGGGAAAGTCTTCCCCAATTAAGGCTTTATCTTAAAACAGAGCATTAGGGGCCGGCCCCGTGGCCGAGTGGTTAACTTCTCACACTCGGCGTCGGCGGCCCGGGGTTTCGCCAGTTCGGATCCTGGCGCAGACCTAGCACCGCTCCTCAGGCCACGCTGAGGTGGCGTCCCACACGCCACAACTAGAAGGACCCACAACTAGAATATACAACTATGTGCTGGGGGCTTTGGGGAGAAGAAGGAAAAAAAAGATTGGCAACAGATGTTAGCTCAGATGCCAATCTTTAGGGAAAAAACAGAAAAAACTGAGCATTATATTTCTAATAAAAAATATAAGATGTCAAAATGTGTGCTGTTGCCACTTGTGTATACATCCCTACTCTGTGCCTGTCTTTAATATGGGAAATTTCAAACACACACACATAAGTTGAGAAAATAGTATGATCCCCACATTTCAATAATTATCAATTTATAGTCAGTTTGGTTTCATCCACACCCTCTTCATAATTTCATCTGTAAATTTCAATGTGTATTTCTAAACAGGAAGGACTTGTAGAAAAATCCCCAGCCCCACGACCCCATGCAGCCCCTTCTCCTGCGTCTCCTTGCTATCAAATGTCTAACAGCAAATGCTCAAATGAGTCAAGTGCTGTTTGAGTGTGTCCGTCACAATCGGCGTCCAGGTAAGGGCCGCACCTTGCAATTGGTTGAGATGCCTAAGTATCTATATGTCACCATTTTCCTTGTGTTGATCAAGTCCTGTTTAAAATGGTAAAACCATCTGGTGAGTATTATTTAAGATATATTTAGATGTCATGAAATGATCTTTAGAGAAAAATTAAAATTGTTTTATCAAGTTCTGCACATGGTTGAAAACTTAAATCATAGAGAATCGCTTACAATGGAAACAGTCCCCTGCCTCATCGACTTCCCCTCTCAGTCACTCTATGCCCTTTTCTATGTATTTAGTTTTTCTGGTGTTCACATCTGCAAATGTAATTAACATACATGGGTTGCTGATCCACGGACATGACGGACGGACTCCCCATGGTGACAGATGCGGATGAGGATGTCGTGTTCTTACCCTTCCCCCCACCTCCCTCCTCCTGTTTACGTTCTGTTGTTGCTATGGGAGGTGGTGGTGGTTCCCTTTGTCACATTAAATAACTCAAACTCCTGTGTCTTGTGCCACCAATGTTCAGGAGGATCTCCAAGCTTGTCACCATGGAGAGAGAAAGATTGGTCCCCTCTAATTAGCCTCCTTTCTCCTTCTTCTTACATTTCCCAACTTCTGTTAGATGTACCTTTCACTCTTTCCTATGTTCAAGGTAAAAACATTGAGGTTTTTTCCCTATAGCGGTTTCTTCTCCCTGATCTGTCTAGAGGCTAACTCGGAAAGTAGAATCCAATACAGCGTTTCTATTATCTGCAGAAAAAGCTGACCTAGATCCCGTGAACACCGTTCGTGGGAACCCCTCGCTCGTGGTTGAGTGCATCCACTTGACATCCTCGGAATGAGCGCTGGGCAGGCCAGTTTTCTAAATCTTTTCATGTTTGAAAACACTTGATTGACAGTTGGCCTGGGGTAGAAATTCGAGGTCAAAACTATTTTCCCTGAGAACTTTGAAGGCATTTTTCCATTGAAAAAGTAATTTGCAGGGTTAATTTCCTTAGCGATGGTTACTATGGTGCTCACATTTGAGGACCCACCCTTTGAACAGCGCCGCACGCAGTTCCCAGTGTTTTAATGAGATTTAATCCTCAGCCCCATGAGTCTGCAGCGTTATTTTCCACGCTGTACAGACAAGGAAACAAGTTATGAGGCCTGTAGCTTGTCCAGACAGGATTTAACTCCCAGAACCTGGCAACCTTCTTCTACCTAAGGCCACGGCTCCTGTCGAGGACCCCTCTCCACAGCCCCGGCCCTCACAGAATTCCAGAAAGACCACTCACTCCCCTGACCCCTCAGGTCCAGGAGTAACAGCTTCCCAGTGTGGCTGGTCCCCAATGCTTCCCCAGCCCCTGTCGGTTCCCTGTGACCTCTGTGAAGAGCCTGTTTGTTAAGCCCTTTCTTAAATCTTCTGAGCACCCAGCAGGGACCATGACCAATGCAGCCAACGGATGGGAAGTGCCAGGGTCGGGGTCAGCCTGATTCTCTCAGGCTCCAGTACCTGGTATCCAGGAACAGATTTAAGATATAAGAAGACAATAGTTTAGAAGCTGTAGGAGATGAGGATGGAGAAAATTTAGGTTGGTTATTTTAGTTTAATATTGAATATCCCCATTTAAAAAAAAAGCAAACTTGTTCTAATATTGTTATAATTGTTACACTATTCATTTTGTGACTTTTGTCGATTACTACTTCATATCTGTGCAGTAAAACAGTTGATCTAAGCAATGTATCTTCTCACGAAGGTGTCATATCACTTTAAGTTCTTCTTTTACCATTTCTGAAGTGTTTTGAAAACCAGTGAGGGTCTCCCTGTGGCGCCCTGGGGCGGCCCGTTTCAGCCTCCCCATTGGGTTTTAATTGTCATCGCAGAGGAGATGGTTGTTCTCCAGAGTTTAGACAACTGGTCCATGGTGAAAACATTGTCTCTGAAAGAGTCACCATGACAACCTGCCTCTTCAGGGTAAGCATTTGAATTTTATCAAAACAAAGGACTTGGCTTTGTATTAAGCCGGTCCCCACGGCAGTGTTCATCACAGCGCGCGTGCTCTTATTAGCCACCTTTGCTCCTGTGTACTTGTTTCCTGAGATTCGGGGGCTCAGCTCATGAATGGGCGGCCACCTCCTTGCATCTTGGACTCAGACCAGAAGCTTGATCCCTTCTACGAGACAAGCTCCACCTTCCCCAAATAAAGCAAGCTCTCTGTGGGCTGGACACGGCTCCTCACCACGTAGTTCCTATTTCCTCTTGAAGATAGGCTCTTAGGTTTGGAAAGAAAATTTTGTGCACTGGAACAGCTGCTTGTTCTTTTCTGTCTGGCATCCCTCTCCTCTCTTCCTTCCTCTGGTGACGGTATTTCACTCCTCTCGGTGGACTGGCCCACCGATTAGTCAGTGAATGTCGCCAAGACAACTGGCTTCTCTGCTTTCATGTTATTCACAAAAGTCTGGATGGTTAAAAAGCCTAAAAGTAAAAGAACTATTAAAGTAGCAGAAGAAACATAGAGGCATGGTTGGATAATCAGAGAGAGAGAAAGAAAATAGATCTAGAAGCAAGAGAAGAAAAAAGACAGGACCTAAAAATTTACAACTTATACACACAGCCCCATCATAAGGAAAATGAAACAATAAATAACAAAATTGAAAGTGTATTAGTGACATATGGCAAAATGTTAATGTCCATAATGTGTAAAGGACTTCTAAAAATAGAAAAATATATGGTAAGGGGTACTCAAGTTTGTGAATCAAAGAAATATAAATAAAGTAGCACAAATCTCACAGTCACCTATTGGACCAGCTTAAATGCAAAAATCTAGAAAAAAATTCAGTTTGTGAGGGTGGGGAGAGCATTTCTGCTCTGTTGATGGGAGTGTAAAGTTGTACCGTCTGTGGCGAGGGCAAAGGTGGCAGTTTTTGTCCATTTAAAGTGCCCATGACTTTCAACCTCCGAATTCCCTTCCTGATAATCCGTCCTCCAGAGCACTCTGACAGATTAGAGCTGAGCGTGTGCAAGAAGGTGTGGGAGTGTGTGCATGAGAGAACAAGGCTGACATCATTGGTAAGTTGGCTCAGTCTCTCCTCTGCTAGAAGCTCTGTGAGGGCAGGGACCTTGTTTCCGTTCACTCCCTTGTCCCCGGCACCAGGGATAGTGCCTGGCACATGGCAGATGCTCAAAGATTTGAACGAGTGAATGTCAGGCAGATGCAATAAGAAAACAAACTGGTGTTATGATGTTAATACGTGATATGGACTTGGGCCAATGGACTAATGATACAGAGGGTACGATTCACGATGAAGATGTTCGTATCACCCACACAGACATAGTAAATTACTGAAGTTGAAACACATAAAATAAAACTAGAGGAAATTAAAGAATAAACTGTTATAAGGAAATCAGAGTGAGACACCGGAACACACCGCTCTCAACCTTTGACAGGTCAAATGGGAAAAACCAAAGAGTTAGAGGCCTTGTGATAAGGCTGCCTTACAGATCGTGGGACTTTGTGTCCTGTGTGTAATCACCTTCTTGTCTCAGAATCTAGGAAACTCTCCAGTTCCACACGGCAGGAGCCGTACAGCGCACACTTTCTGACAAAACGTAAAAGAACTAGCAATCAATTACAAAAAGCTTATTTTAAAAATTCAAGGCCTGGAAGATAAACAAATAAGCCTTTTCAGTAACCCTTCTGTTAAGGATTATCTTCCACCACACAGCAATCACGGGTCCCTTCGAAGTTAGGACCCTGGAAAGCATGGAGTGGCACAGCTCCCGAGAGGGGCAGAGCAGGAGAGCGGAGCACTTTCACCATCAGGCAAGAGAGGATGCAAATAAGCAAGCTAACTGTTCAGTACAAAGCTAGGAAGCCAAGAAACTGAAGCCAAGAAAAGTAAAAATGGAACCACTGGAAACAAAATTAGAGAAGAACAAATTAGAGAAAAGAACTAGAGTTGAATTTTTGGGGTTTTGTTTTGTGAGGAAGACTAGCCCTGAGCTAACATCCGTGGCCATCTTCCTCTACTTTATACGTGGGACACCTGCCCCTCATGGCTTGATAAGCGGTGCCATGTCCGTACCCGGGATCCGATCCGGCGAACCCCGGGCCGCCAAAGCAGAACGTGCAAACTTAACCACTGCGCCACTGGCCTGCCCCTAGAATTGAATTTTTAATACAAGGAATGGTTCTCTGGAAAAAGTCAAAAAGGACAAGTTTTGGCAATGCTATTCAAGAAAAAGAAAGAGAAAGCATTGGTAAATGGTAAAGTGCCTGTAGCCATGGAGATGAGGGCAGTTACAACACGAGCTTCCTTGCGGTCCCCCATTCTCTGCACAGGGCCCGCTCTCCTGGGCATCAGGACACAGTGAGAGCTCTTGAGGCGGCCACCGCTGCTCCCTGGGGAGCGCCACTGATGGATTTGGTAAGGCAAATGCGGAAACTTCGCAGCCTTGTTCTTCTCTCCAGTGGTCGAGGAGCAGATGCTGGCACCAAACTGGTGTGGGTGCAGTCTTTCTCCTGGAAATACATTTAAGACTCCGCGACTCTGGTCAGTCTGGACCATTCCTCTAACTCGAGAATATGCAAACTTGAGAGCTGTGGGATGGCCATTTTTCCCCAAGGCCCAGGAAAGAAAGCCATCTTGGCAAGAAGAGAGTGCAGGTGTGGGGACCAAAGGGTGCGGGAAGAGAGAGAGAGAAGGGGGGGGGGGGAGGGAGAGAGGGAGAGAGAGAGAGATAGGGGAGAGAGAGAGACAGAGAGAGAGAGAAAGGGAGAGAGAGGGGAAGGTCATGTGGCCCAGAGGGACCCCAAGGTGCGGCTTCCTGGGGAGGATGAGCAATTCCTCTAGTCCTTGGGTTCTCTGAGACCCTTCCCCCATGCCCCCTTATGTAATGGCATAATTTACAAAAGGTTAAATAATGTATCTCAACAAGAAAAAGAAGAGTGTCAAAGATTTCCTTTAACTCATTAATTAATGAGATGACCATGAAGATGTTGAAACTGGTTCAAAGCGCATTTGAGGAACTGGCTGTTTCGAGTAACTTGAAGGAACATTAGGGTGGGATGGCTAGTCTAGGTAAAAAACTGCTTAATCGCCTACAAGGCTGTCACTACGACATCTGGGATTATCTCCAGTGGTCAGAGGTCATCTGCAGGTCTAATGGAAAAAAGTCTCTCAGTTCACCTCTGCCCATACAGAGCTGTCATTAGAGGGTAGTCTCGGGGCAAGGCCAGCATGGCCCAGACAATCTCATCGATCCGTCTGCAAGGTTTGGAGAGCTTTTAGGGTACTTAAAAATGGATCCCCCCTTTAACCTGATCTGAGAGGAGTTTTGGTGCCCAGAGCCTAGAGGTCTGGCGGGAAGGAAGGGGAAGGAGCAGTCGGGAGCCGAGGCCCGGAAGACTTCACGGAGGGGGAGGAGCCCAGCCCCGGAGTGCAGGGCTCCTCTTCGAGCCACCGCT